GTGCTACAACGTTGTACGTTTTTGTTATTTTCGGAAACTTGGATTAATAATGAAGAACGAATTGATATTCAGAACTATTACTGCGTTACTCAATACAAACGATCAAACGATCAAACTCAAAAGCAGGTGGTGTAGCTGTCTATCATTCATGTTCAGATACTCTTCATAATGCCACTCCTATGCAGTTTCTTGCGCCAACAATATTCCTATTGAAATTCCTAATGAAATTACACAAGTAGGTGAAATATTGCAGTTGTCCGCTGTGTGAACACTCAGAATCAAACATTAATTATAGTCGTCCTTTAAATTTCTCCCAATAAAGACGTATCAAATATTATTAAATTTCTTTATCAGCACTTACTGCATGTTTCTAATGAGGGTGCAAAACTTTTAAACACTAATCACAACGAGATACCATTAATTCTTGCTGGAGATTTCAATGTCAATTTTCGTTCAAAAGAATCTCAACCATTAATTGATTTTTTAAATAATAAATTTAATTTAACAATGCATAATTCTCCATTTGAATCAACCACAAGATATGGCACGACTATTGATACAGTTTTCTCCAGAAATGTACATAGTTTACAAAGCAAAATTTATGAATCTCATTTCAGTTATCACAAACCTATTATATCATATATGAAATATGATAGCAATTAATCTATCGCTGTTGTTTTAAACTGTGTTATTGATGTTATGTGATTCTTAATAAATGATTTTTAAAATTCAAATATGATGTTTTTTTTATTTTTATCTTAATTGCCTACTCATACAATATTAAAAGTTTTACTTCAATCGCGTGTGATCCTTACGCGCACTCTTTTTTATCTTCAAAAGCAATTGGTTTGTCAATACAAGCAGAAAGTTTTTTTTAGATCATTCAAATCGGACGCTTAGTTCACTCAAAAACTGCCATTTTTTGCACATTTAGCTCGGTATTTCCGAAACGGCTGGACCTGTCTTTGCCAAAAACTAATCACCTCTTCTCCCAATCATTACAAATTGAATGTTTTTTAGATCATTCAAATCGGATACTCCGTTCTCTCAAAACTTGATTTCTATTTTCTGCACTTTTTGCTCCGTATCTCCGTAACGGCTGGACCTGCCTATGCCAAAAACTAATCAGCACATCTCCCTATCAATAGGAATCGAATATTTTTTAAATCATTCAAATCAACGTGACGAAAAAATGCGAACATACAAAACACACACACACACAAACGCACGAACATCCATTTAATTTCTGAGGTATGCCAAACGGTTCAGAAACCTTCGAAATGTCGAGAAATGCAAAAATTTTCATTTTCGATTTTTGGCCCATTACTATAACTACCCTACGGGAAATTATGAGGCATTTGCTTGCCAGTAGAGTCCTTTTCCTATCTTCTTTTTAATTTATTTGCCAGTAGAGTCCTTTTTTAGCCTTATTTAGCTCGTCAGTAGAATCCACATTTTAGTGGATTTTTATCATCTAGGTTTTTATTTTCATTTGCTTGTTTGTAGAGTCCTTTTTAACGCCTAGGCTGATGTTTTATTTGCTGGTCAGTAAAATTTTTTTTTTCGTACAATTAGTCTCCTTTTTTTCTCCGTTCTTAGCGCGTCAGTATAGAGTCCTTTGTCGGTAGTAGTCCGTTGAGTTTGCTCGACAGTAGTGTCCTTTGTTGACTTCTATTTAGTTTGCTCGCCAGTACAGCCCTGTTTTTACGTTCTAAAATTACTATGTAATAGAATCCTTTTGTAATTTATCACATATAAGTAAATAACAACAACTTGCCAATAGGTCACGAAATATTTACTCCGGTCAAAAAATATATTACAAAAATATTCTCAAACTTTGTTTCCGCACTTTGAGAATCACACACAATGCATCTCTTCTCCTTCTATCCCTTTCATGCATTTTGAGCACGCACACATGCTTGTGCGCTCGTATAGCGCTGTCTCTCTCATTCCCTTTGCGGAATATATATACCTCTATATCTTCGTCTTCGTCGCACACAAGTCAGTCGTATGCCGTTCTTGTTTTTTCAGAGAAATTCGTATTGCTGACTTTGTCTAATGCATACTTAGGGGAATACAAAGAAGTAAGGGATAGAACACAGAGATATAAAATTATTTAAATTTTATAGTTTTAGTAATAAGTATACGTTTTGGAGAGCTAGCAAAAGGACTATACTGACGAGCAAATTAAACAGAAATATCTACTAAAGATAAGAGAGGACTCTACTAACAAACAAACTCGTTAATACAATTAACAACTGATTAAAACAATTTTAGTGAAACTGTATGCAAAAAGCTCTGATTGTCTTAATGAACACACTCAAATATTATAGGCTTATGAAAAGTGAAAGATTTTGAAAATATTTTTATAATATGTATATTTTTGATCGTAGTAAATATTTTTTGGTCTATTGGCAAATTGCTGTTGTTTTACTTACGTCTAACAAATAAAAACAGGAATCTAAAAAATATTAAAAGACTCTACTGAAGAGAAAATCAAATATAATTCTAGAATCAAGAAAGGACTCTACTGACGAGCAAAATAAATGAAAGCTAAAAGGGACTCTACTGGCGAGCAAATTAAATAGAAGGTAAAAAACGGATTCTATTAACGAGCAAATTGAGTAAAAGTTACAAAAAGGACTCTACTAACGAGCAAATTGAGTAAAAGTTACAAAATGGACTCTACTGACGAGCAAATCAAATATCAAGTTAAATAGCCGGCAAAAATAGGACCTTACTGACGAGCAAATTTCATATAAAGAAAAATAGAACTCTACTCACGAGCAAATACCATAGAAATTAAAAATGGAACTCTACTGACGAGCAAGAAAAATAGGTATCTACTGACGAGCAAATAAAATCGCAAATAAAAATAGGACTCAACTGACAAACAATTTACATAGCAAGCAGAAATAGGACTCTACTGACTAGCAAATTAAATAGCAAGAAAAAATAGGACTCTACTGACGAGCAAATTCCATAAAAATAAAAAATAAAATAAAATACACATAAAAAATAGGACCTTACTTACCTACAAATACAATAGCACTCTTATATTGGACTCTACTGACAAACAAATAAAATAGTACAGTCAAATAGGACTCTACTGACAAGCTAATTACATAGAAATTAAAAATGGGACTCTACTGACGAGCAAGAAAAGTAAGACTCTACTGATGAGCAAATTACATAGAAGTTAAAAACCCTACTGTCGAGCAAATAAAATAGCAAGAAAAATAGGACTCTGCTGACAAACAAATTAAATAGCAAGAAAAATAAGGACAAGCAAATTACATAGAAAATATAAATAGAACCCTACTGACGAGAAAGTTATATAAATACGTAAAAGAGGACTTTACGAATGACCTAATTAAATAAAAAGAAAACTATTCTGATGAATAGTTCGATAAAAATAGTTTGAAGCGCAGAAAGGACTCTACTAAAGAACAAAAAGGACCTTACTTAAGAGCAAAGAGAACTCTAATTAAGATCAAAAGGGACTCTACTGAAGAGCAAAAAGGACTCTACTTAACTTAAGAGCAAAAAAGACTCCACTTAAGAGCATAAAGGACTCCACCGAAGAGCAAAAAAAGACTACTGACAAGTAAATAAAACACCGGTCTTGGAGAAAAAAATGACTCTGCTGACGAGCAAATTGAAAAGCAAAAAGGGCTATACTGATGAGCAAAAAGGACTCTACCGAGAAGCAAAAAAATGAAAAAGTTTAGCGTTGAAATGACTAAATGCAGCAAAAGCAAAAAGAACTCTACTGAATAGCAAAAAGTACTCTACTGAAGAGCAAAAAAATGAAAAAGTTTAGCTTCTAAATGACAAAATGCAAAAAATTTAAAATCAACTAAAAAATAAAATGATGACTCTACTGGCAAGCAAATCAAATAACAAAAACACTTACACCAAAATACTAACAACGACTTACACCAAAATACTAACAACGACTTACACCAAAATACTAACAAACAAAAAAAACGTAGGATCCTAAAAATCCCAACAACACATACCACAACATTATCATCCTATTTTACCAATTTTACCAATGTGCCAATTTTTAAACATGGCGACCCATCTAATAATACTTTTTATTTATTTATTCATTTATTTATTCATAAGCAAGCCGTAATCAATAATAATAGATATTATTTCAGGCTCTTGTCAAGCTTATTCATAGTTAATATTAAAAGGATAGTAATTTTATAATAATCATAGTAGCTGCACGAATTTTGCTTCTGAAAAAAAAGAGCTGAAAAAAGCATTCGAACATTAAATACAATGTTCATCATCAAGTTCATCATATTAAAGTCTATTTGACCACTAGTCAGGCTCAAAATTCTTGCACAAGGTTGAAAGTTATACTCATTTAAAACCGTAAAAACGTTAAATTTTTAAAATAGCAATAAAAAAAAATTTTAAAAAAAATATGGTTGTACAGGCGATCAAATGGTCAGATTACATAGATAAAGGATAAGGATTATGCAAGAAAATAGTTATTGAAATCAAATTGAGAAAATTCACTAATGTCATAAAAAGAACTACTAATTACTAATTACTAATTATATACCCATATCTTTATTATCTAATTTTACTAAAGTTTTTGAAAAAATTGTATTTAAAAAAACTAATTTAATAAACTAATATTACCCGCACCCGGCATTCTGATGAATAGTTCGATAAAAATAGTTTTGTTAAGGCGCGAAGCTTAAATTTTACTTCGACGTCTAACAGGGTGTTGTCGATTTACTTATTCTAACCACTACACTTTAAAATTGTTCTATAACGGAACTGCTGGTGTGATCGGTGATTAAATAAAATAAAATGCGACGTTTGATATTAATAGATTTATTATAAAAAATATGGTGAATATAATCGCAACAGATAGTTGGTGTTTCTATACTGCGCTCTAAACTTATACTGACTAAAAATTATTAAAAAATTTAAATTAACAATATTAGCCCCGCCCGTAAGAGGCGGGTTGCATTAATTTATACATCTAAGGGGGATGATTTCTTAGACTTATTAGATGATTCCTTGAAATTATCTCCAGGCATTTTGCAGACTAATAAATAAAAGTATCGTAATATAGACAGTCCCAGACATATAAATTAAGCTCAAAAATTAAAATATCTTATATCCCTAATGCAATTTGCACTTGATGTGTGAAAGACATGCAGACGACGGTCCGCCTGGCCTGGCGACTGTCCATCGTATCGGAATACGAGACGATGCGTCCCTTACAAAAAAAACAGTTCAGGTTACCTCCATTGGGAATACTTAACATGGCGGCCACCTTGAAATAATCTTAATATTATTTCGAAATATTTAAATTTACATCAAAATCTTACATTCAAATCGAGTTAGTCTAATACATCATATAACAAAGTTTACAATATAATTAATAATTCATATAGACATTAAATAGACACTGCATCTAAGTCTTTGCTTTACATTTAAATCCTGTGTTCGACTAGCGAAAAGAACTAGTAAGGAATAGTAACATCATTATTAAATAATTACACTATTCCACATTTATGAAATAAGATGTTAAAATTGAATGTATTCAATTCATAATCACTACACGATTTTGTTCTCATTGTCAATTGGTAATGCACAGTCACAACACGAATTTTCCCATCTTCAACTGGATGTGTTTCGACAATGCTGCCTACACGCCAATTTAGAGGAGGAAAATTATCTTCGCGAAGTAGAAGCATAGATCCCACCTTTACTGATTGATCTGCACAGCCCGTGCATTATCTTCGATCCTGTAGCTCCGATGCACGCTGTTTATGCCAGCGTTTCCAAAAACGTTGCATCAAACGCTGAAGGTGCTGGTAGAGCCTATTCTCCGGAACGTCAAGTACGTTTAGGTCGGGAATGGTTATAATGGGTTTGTCAAATAGAAAGTGACCAGAGGACAAATGATTGAAATTAATAGGATCGGAGCAAAATGAGGAATTTGACATAATTTCAGTTTGTGACAAATATGTAAAAAATCGTTTAAATATATAAAATGCATTTTCTAAAAATCGAATGGAATGCTTCAAATGCGGCATGCATTTTACATTACAAATAGCACCAAAATGTGGTGATTTGATGAGAACGAAATGCCAATTAATTCCGTAATGTATAATTAAGTAAATTTTCATAAACTTCTTGAAGTTACGTTTGCATAAAATATTGGATGGTGTTTTAATTTCTGACGACGCTCCAATAAATTTTGTGCCGTTGTTATCTGAATTAATGCTAGTAGGTTTTTCTGACGCATAATAAGTCGTCTGAGCATAGCTAAAACCTTCTAACATAAAATTTGATACAATTTTTAACTGAATAGCGCGCGTACTAAAATGAATAAATCGGGATATGAATGCTCTGATTTTTCTAAAGCCTTTAGTACGACGATCTCTCAAAATAATCGGACTTCGGAAGTCCAACCCGCGACTCGCGAACGACAACAGCAAAGTCATGCGGTTTTTCAGTAAATTTTTCATTAACGGAAAGAGGAAAGGATTGACCACGAAGCATGTGAAACAGTTTCGTGTCACCCTTTTACATAAATTTGTATCGCCAATGCGCAAAATGCCATTTTCGGAATGCCTTTTTAATTCTGATTTAGGTTTTATTGGTCTGTGCTTTAAGTTGTTAGACCCTTCAAAACTACTATTAGAAACCGAATTCATTGCAAAATTGCAAATAGTTTCATTAGACGAGTGATGCGATTGAATTGTGCTTGAAATTATCCAACCCAATGCAGTGTTTTGCAAAATCGTGTTAGTTTTGCTCAACTTAATAAAACCCTTTCGTAACAAACTCCAAAATAAACCCGCTCCCAATAACATATCTATCCTACCGCTGATATTATAATCTGGATCAGCTAATTTTATTCCGGGAGGAATTTTAAAATGGTTTGATGAGAACGAAATCGCGGGTATATTACTTGCGATTGAATCTAAAATTAAACACGATATATTGCATGAATATGAGCTTATATTTGATTTTATCTTAACTTCGATTTTGCTATTAATTTTTGATAAAGACTGACTTATACCTGAAACGGACATATTTAACTTCTCCGTTTTTAAGGAAAGTTTCTTTGAAAATTCCTGTGTTATAAAATTTGACTGTGAACCGTTGTCCAACAAGATTCTAGCAGGAACCCATGCGTGGTTTTTATTTAATCCCGAAATGACCGCTGTTGAAAGTAAAACCTGTGATAAATTCACATTACTAACAAATGATGTGCTAGGTATAGATTCAATCAACGGATTTGCTAGCTCTTCACAATGCAATAGTGTATTATGTTTTTCATGGCAAACCACGCAACGAATTAAAACTGAACAATTATCTATTTGATGGTTTGTATTCAAGCAATTTGTACAGATTTTTAACAGCTGTACTTGCGATATTCTTTCATTTACTTTTAATTTTCTAAATTCTTCACATTTAAATAATGGATGACTTTTTTTACATAATACACATTGCAATGCGTTTGAGATCGCATAGGATCTGGTAACTTTATCGCTTTTTAATGAAACTTGTTTATGCGATTCGATAGTTGGTAGCTTTTCATAATAAAGCGATTCAAATACCTGGCACCTATAATCCAGGAACTTTACTAGATCAGAAAATTTTGAAATGTCTGAACCTTTATTGTTGGATAGCTCCCATTCGCGACGAGTTGCTGAATCCACCTTCGTTAATATTAAATACATAATTAATGAGTCCCAATTATTGACAGGCTCACCTAACGCTTCTAAACAACGTAAATTTTTATTGAAGCTATCCACTAAATTTCTTAACATTTTAAAATCTTCTGTCTTTATTTCAGAATGATTGAATAAACTTCTAATGTGGTTATTTATTATTATTTTTTTATTTTCAAACCTATCTCTAAGCAATCCCCAAGCAATCTCATAATTTGCTGACGATGACGGCAGTGAATGTATGACGCTTGCAGCTTCATTTTTTAAGCAAGTTTTTAAATAATAGAATTTTTCGGCATTGCTTAGATTGGTATTATTATGAATTAATGCCGTGAACGAATCATTAAACTGTAACCAATTACTATAGGAACCGTCAAATGTTGGTAATGCGATATTTGGAAGTTTTATATTATTGTTGAAACTTTGACTTTGTTCGCTTCTAATATTATTATTACTTAAATCGGTTTGAGGTATTTTATTTTTTACTTGATTGAAATTATCTGTTAATCGTTTGATGTCATTTAAGACACTAATTAAATCAATGTCGTATAATTTAGTTATTTCCTCCTCGTCGTCTAAGACATTTGCTAAATTATTAATAACATTTACGTAATTTTCCTCCAAAGTGTTCAACTTATTTAAGTATTCTTCTATATCCCTAACATTTAAATCAGACAACGGCCTATTTATTAACTTGTTACATGCATTATCTAACACCATGAACTGCGCTTTTAATCCGCGTTTCTTATTTGTTAATGATTTTACCGATTCCATTTTTTATCACAGACAAAAACTATTAACAAAGGATAATGAAGGGGTATTTGAAGGAAGTACCTGAATTATGCAAGTCGTGCAACCCTCGAACTTGTTTTCTGCCTGTGTATGTTTATCAGCTGGTACGGTTCCTTTGTTTGTATTCACGACGTTTTTACGAATTTTATAATAATTATGTGTTAACTGTATTTAATTTCACTATTTGTTAACATATATTTAATCTGATTATTTGATTTATTTATTTTAATAATTTTATTTATTGTTATTATTACATTTAATAACATGAATTTTTGTTTTTCTTTAATTTGATAATTTGATTTATTATGTTATTTTATTTAATAACTTGAATTTTATTTATTTATTTGTAATATTATTAAATTTAATCACTTTCATTCTATTCATTTGATCTTAATTTAATAATTATTCACTTCAATTTAATAATTTGATATATGATTTTATTTAATTTAATCACTTGAATTATTAAATCACTAATTATTATTTTAGCGGACTGTATGTTGCTGGTTAATTAATTTGCTTGAACGTCCAAAAGATCACTTAAAATTATTAAATTTGTGTCCTTTGGAAAGTAATAAAAGTCCAAATGATAAATATACGGCTCGTTTGGACCAAATGTTAAGGCGCGAAGCTTAAATTTTACTTCGACGTCTAACAGGGTGTTGTCGATTTACTTATTCTAACCACTACACTTTAAAATTGTTCTATAACGGAACTGCTGGTGTGATCGGTGATTAAATAAAATAAAATGCGACGTTTGATATTAATAGATTTATTATAAAAAATATGGTGAATATAATCGCAACAGATAGTTGGTGTTTCTATACTGCGCTCTAAACTTATACTGACTAAAAATTATTAAAAAATTTAAATTAACAATATTAGCCCCGCCCGTAAGAGGCGGGTTGCATTAATTTATACATCTAAGGGGGATGATTTCTTAGACTTATTAGATGATTCCTTGAAATTATCTCCAGGCATTTTGCAGACTAATAAATAAAAGTATCGTAATATAGACAGTCCCAGACATATAAATTAAGCTCAAAAATTAAAATATCTTATATCCCTAATGCAATTTGCACTTGATGTGTGAAAGACATGCAGACGACGGTCCGCCTGGCCTGGCGACTGTCCATCGTATCGGAATACGAGACGATGCGTCCCTTACAAAAAAAACAGTTCAGGTTACCTCCATTGGGAATACTTAACAAGTTTGAAGAGCAGAAAGGACTCTACCAAAGAACAAAAAGGCCCTTACTTAAGAGCAAAGAGAACTCTAATTAAGATCAAAATGGACTCTACTGGAGAGCAAAAAGGAATCTACTTAAAAGCAAAAGGGACTCTACTGAAGAGCAAAAAGGACTCTACTCTAACCCACCCGTCTCGCTCTAACCCGTCACCTATCTTGCTCTCCCGCTCTATCCCTCTCTTGCTCACGCCCTCTCCCCGTCTCTTTCTCTCCGACCACCACCAAACACGCATAGTGCCGTCCCTGTCTGGCGGTCTGCCTGCCACGCCAGTGCCTGGTAAAATGAAATTCAGTCCGCATTCACACTTCACAGGGAGTGGAGGTGCTACTAAAAATTGTGAGACATCAACGAAAATCAATATGCATACATTAACTGGAGCATAGGTTGATATATAAAGTTTTAGAGAGAAGTTTGAAAAAAAAGCAAAAAAATCTGTTGAAGAGCAAAAAGAACTCTACTTGTGAAAGGAGTTTTAGTGAAGACTGTCTTAAAGTTGTGACAAAGTGCAAGTTTTTAGTAACAAAAGTTTGTGTTAATATTGTTAGTACTTGGTGGTTGTCGAAAACTTTGGAAACAATTTTGGATAAACTGATAAAACAACCGGCATCACAAAACTTGAAAAAACTCAAAAAAGTGTGTGCGTCCAGAATTTTGTACTAAAGTTTAGTCCTTGCTAACTAATGTTAGTACAAGTACTATTTTTAGTACTTGGTGGTTGAAAATCGATTCAACAAAATTTGACTTAAAACAATAAAGTAAACTGATAAAACAACCAGGATCATCAGTCAACAAAACTTGGGCAAACTCAAAAAAGTGTGTGGGTCCAGAATTTTGTACTAAATTTCAGTCCTTGCTAACTAAATTTAGCACGAGTACTATTTTTAGTACATCACCTTGAACGGTGGTTGAAAATCGATTATCCACAAAATTTGACTTGAAACAATTTTGTGCAACAAAAGTGAAACTATTTATGCTGATTATATACTAAAATTTAGTTGTGCTTACTAAATTTAGTATTTTCAATACTTGGTGGTCAAAAATAGTACTAGAACTAAAACTTACTCAAGTAAAAATACAAAATTTGTACTAAAATAGTTGTGTCTAACAAAATTTGTACAAACTCAAAAATTAGTGTGTATCCTGTTTTGGTACTAAATTTTGGTTCCTGCTAACTAAATTTAGTATAAAGTACTAGTTTTTTTAGTACTTGAAAAGCCATTAAAACCTGCTTTACCAAAATTTGTACAAACTTATACAGTTTGTGCAAAAAATTTATATAAATTCAAAAATTGGTGTGTGATACTAAAGTTTAGTTTTCGCTAACTAAATTTAGTATTAGTACTAAATTTTTTAGTACTTGGTAGTTAAAAATTGACTAGAACTTGCTTCACTAATTGTTTGTGCTACAAATTTGGTGCAAACTAAAAATCAGTGTGTGTATGCTGTTTTGATACTAAATTTGGGTTCCTGATAACTAAATTTAGTATTAGTACTAAATTTTTTAGTACTTCGTGGTTGAAAAACAATTAGATCCAGTATCGTCAGTGTGTTATGCAAAAAAAAAACTTGGACTAACTATAAAAATTAGTGTTTTTGTCTAGAATTTTGTACGAAAATTTGTGTCAAGAGGACTAAATTTAGTATACAGTACTATTTTTTAGTACTAGTTAATTGAAAGTGAAAAAAATTAGTGTGTGTATCCAGAAATTTGTTTTTTGCAACAAAATTTACCTTAAAGAACTATTTTTGTGTCTACAAATTGCTAGTTGTACAAAAATTTTTGGAAATGTTGGAAAATTAGTGTGTACGTTACTAAATTTTGGTTTTTGTTACTAAATTTAGTACTAAAACTGTCGGACGTCAAAAAAAAGTTGCATCTAGTGCTCGTGATACAAAAATAACAACAAAAAAGTGCTTTTTGCTTCAATTTTTTCATTTTCTCTCAAGTTGTGTCAACGTTCAATTAATCTTGTGGTCACAAAAAATATTCCAGGACTCTAAAAAAGTTTTTTGTCTGATCCTGGAAACAGTTTTTTTACGACCTGCGTGAAATATTATCTTTTGTTCAACAAAAAACAGGTTCAAAAATTAGACAAAAGTGGTAACCAAAAGCTGTAGTTATAAAATAAAACACGAACAAAAAAAAGTTAAAATCAAATAACAACAAATGATCAACAAAAAAGTTTTGGATTTGTTTTTATTTTATTTTCCCAAAGTTTTTTTTTAATTTGTGGTGATGTGGTGAACAAAAGTTGTGTGGTGACTTGTTTTTTGGATACAGTGACACCAGGATTAACCAGGATACTAGATAGTATGATTAATTAAGTATATATTTTACTGTTATTTTATTTAAGTATATATGATTAATTAAGTATATATTTTATATTTAAGTTTTGTTAAATTTTAGACAAAATGGCTACGCCCAAATTTTTTATCCTATTATTTTTTGTGGTACATGGTGTCCATTCTTTGTGTCAATACGAAAAGGATGAGACTACCAAAGTGTTATCCGAAACCCAAATGTCGTGTAAAATCAGGACGTTGGAACGTAGTTCCGAAAACTTTTCAAATTTAGGTGTCACCGTCCAAAAATTAGAAATTTTGACCAAATTCAACGTATCTTGTAACGAGATGTTGCTCTTCGAGAGCAACATCGGGGACGGTTTGTTCCTGATATTCCAGGCTTTAAATGAGTTGAATATAGAAAATTGTAAGTTTTTATTCTTACCTAAATTTGCATTTCACGGTTTGAGCCAACTTAAAAAACTATCAGTGAAATCTAATAACCAACTCTGGGGCGCTAATAAAAACTTGAACATATCCCAAGAGTCGTTCCAGGGTTTGAACGAACTCCAAAGCCTAAACCTGGCAGGTAATAATATAAATTTGTTGCAACAGAATACTTTGTGTCCTTTAAAATCTTTGCAGACCTTAAATTTGACTGATAATCGTATCAAATCTGCAAACGAGTTAGGGTTTTCTGCAGGTGCAGAACGTTGTTCTGGAGGCGAAGAATTGGTGACTTTGGATCTGAGTTACAACAGGTTGGCAAATATTGGTGATTTTTGGCAAATTTCGAAATTAAGGCGTTTGCAACAACTGCACTTGCAACATAATAATATTACAGACGTGTCCAGTGAAAGTTTGATAGGTTTGACTAGTCTAAGGATCCTAAATTTGTCGTTCAACAAACTTGAAAGTTTACCAAATTTCTTGTTATTCAATTCAAGAGAAATCAGGGAGATTCATTTGCAAAACAATTTGTTATTCGAGTTACCCAAAGGTTTGTTTCATCGTTTGGAACAACTTTTGGTGCTTGATTTGAGTTTTAATCAACTGTCCAGCCATCATATTGATGAAAATATTTTTACAGGTTTGATCAGACTTATTGTTTTGAATTTATCCAACAACGCGTTGACACGTATAGACTCCAAAACCTTCAAAGATTTGTTCTTTCTACAAATTTTGGATTTAAAAAACAACTCCATCGGATACGTTGACGAAAACGCTTTCCTACCTATGTACAACTTGCATACCTTAAACTTGGCTGAAAACAGGTTGCACCAAATCGATAACAACTTGTTCAACGGTTTATTTGTTTTAAGCAAACTGACTTTAAATAACAACTTGATCAACTCCATAGACATCAACGCTTTTAAAAATTGCTCGGATTTAAAACAACTCGATTTGAGTTCTAACCAAATCACCAGGATTCCTAAAGCAATCCAGGATTTG